AGCTCCTGCCTTCTGGCTGTCACTTGTTTGCAGCTGTTGTCCCTGCTGATCATTCCTCCTTCAGGCAGGCGAGGATGTCACACTAGAGTCCCACTAGGGTGGAGTAGCTCTATGTGGGGAGGAGTGTGAGGAGGGAAGGAGAAGGCAGGGGACAAAAGGTGTGACAGCTCTTTTTGTTCTCATTGTGGCTTCATTTCCTTCTGACACTGAAGCAGAACAGGATGGGGGGGCGGGTGAGCATGTCTGAACAGACAATGCCCCAAAAATATGAGAGTTGTTAAGCAGCTCACTGTCTGTTGCCAGTCCAGGTGTGCATCTACAACACTGGCAAGACTGTTTGGAGTTAGGGTTGCTTGTGGCTTTTTGAAACAGAAAAGAACAGGAATACAGGACTAGAGTCTAATCTTAAAAATGGCACCCTGTTAATTCTTTATGTCTTTAGCTCATTTCTAAAGTTTGGCTTTGTGTCTTATTTGCATACTCTCAGTGCTTTCATATTAAATTTGGTTACAAAAGTGCTCTGTGTCAGCTCTTTTGAGAAATCTGATACTCTGAAGAGAGAGGATTGAAACCACTTTTTATTCTTCCACATTAAAAATTTTGCTGAATCTTAAAGGAGGGCGGGGGAGTGGCACAATATGCAAAGTGATACAGTAATTTAATCCTATAAGTTAACATGAATTTTCTAATCACTACAGTATAGTGAAAGTATCTAAATCTGTTGTAAGGAAACTGGGTTTCCTGGGTTAAACTCTGCTTTTGATGTATAGGTGACTGCAGCCTTATCTTCTCTGTTCCTCATTTGGCTCAATTATTAAATGAAAAAAAAAAAAGTAGAAGGAGTCAGATGAATCAAACAATTTCTTCCCAGGCTAAAATTCTGCATTTCTGATTCTGTGGTCCAAATTTTAGGGAGAGGAAAATGCCCAAAGTCAAAGGAAGCAAGAGAAGCCTCATTGAAACAAATCTCAAAAATTTCCTCCCTCCCTATTCTTTGTATTTACCTGAAACAATGTTTTAGACCAGTATATACAACTCAAATTGATATTTTCTTTTTTCTTTTTAAGATTTAATTTATTTATTTGTCAGAGAGAGATTGAGAGCACAAGCAGGGGGAGCGTCAGGCAGAGGGACAAGCAGGCTCCTCCCCGCTGAGCAAGGAGCCCCCATGAGGATCCCATGCGGATCCCAGGACCCTGGGATCATGACCTGAGCAGAAGGCAGATGCTTAACCAACTGAGCCACTCAGGCGTCCCTCAAGTTGATAGAAAATTTTCTAAGTCTCTTTAAGGATGAATAATAAAGGAAGACTAGTTAGAACAATACAGGTGAAAGATGCTAAGAAGCTGCACACTCTCCTTATAAATTGGACTCTTGGCTCTCTGTTGAGAAACTGTTATAGCTTCAGGCTACAGAGAGTATAGCTAGACAGAGGGGGTCAGGGCTCACCCCAGCTCCACCATATCCTTCACATAAATGACCAAGCAATAAAAACACAGCCTTATTTTGATATAAAGCTTACAAAACTCTTTCAGCTCTTAAAATCTTATTTAACATTTGCAGTAATCTGCTTGGCTTCATTTCTTTCTTTACAAAACTAGAATTTATGGTTTTTCACTAGTAGCTTCTACTTCCTCACTTGCAACTATTTTGTCCCGAAAATCTCCCAAACTTCATCAGTCTGCCTCCTGCACTCCTAAGCTCAGGCTCTTCAATTGGCTGCAAATATTGTTTACAGCCTAATAGCATATCTCACATTGTAAAACATATAAAAAAGACTGCTGTGGACTTAAAAATCATACATCTTTTAGAACTGGTGCCACAAACAATTTCATTTCATACCTACTCCAAGCTAGACTTCACTTGCTTTTTTTGTTTTTATTTTTGCTTTTTAATTTTCCCAAATCAACTTTCTATCCCACTAACCAATAAAGCCTTTTTGAAACATCACCAATATCTTACAGTTATCCATGCTACCCCCGCTTCTGTTCTTTCAACAGATGACCCTTGGTTTCTATTACAATTTGATTCTCTTATATTACCAATCTTAGTTAATGACACTACCATTCTACCAGTTTCCCAAGCCAGAAGGCTACACCATGGGAGAGGCCATTTCTGGCCTCCAAATCCCTCAAGCCCTATACTCACTATCACTCATTCTGTTCTTGCTCTGTATCCCCACTGTTACTACTTTAGATCAAAATCACTTCTGACACTGTAAGCAAGGAATTCTTTTTTTTTTTTTTTTTAGGGTTTTGTTTTGTTGAATTTTATTATTGACAATGGCGCCAAAGAACCAACATTCAACCACTTGAACTAAATAGAACATTAACAGAGTTCTAAACATTCAAACATGGGATGGAGAGAAAATTCCACTCATCAAAGATCTCAGAAGAGACACAACTCCCTCATTCATTAAGCATTAGTAAACAAACAAAATCTAGAAAAAGACCTATTCTTGTTTTTTTCATATTAAGTACCAATTTCTATTTCTTTTTTTTTTT